TGGAATCCATGTCATTGATAATATCCTGTATAGTCCTTATTCAGTCTCTAGACCTTCGAATGGGGACAAATAACACCGAGGTCCACCATCACAACACCTCCAGCGACCACAGCAACTACAGCCCATCAGGTAACATTTGAGGCATTTCAAAATTGAGCCAATGAAAGAATAGAGGAGATTATATTCATAGAAGAGTGAATAAAAAAACCACGCACTTGAAAAAGTATATTTACAGACTACTACGACAACTGCGAGCCCAACGGATCTATTGCGGGTGCTTACCTTAGTCTCACTCATCAACCGTATTCCTATTTTGAAGCAGTAATCTTTTACAGAGAATAGAAGCTCTCAGCCATATAAGAAACATTATTTCAGACTTTTGCAAACCTCGGTTGGTTAAAAGCATTTATGGAAGGCGCGACTCAGACTTCACAATTGGTATTACCCCTATTTACGCATATATAATGTTGGAAATGTTCAGAACCAGGGATTCAGAATCGCATAATACGCTTGATTTTAGAACTTCCCCAATATGAGATGGCTTGGTGCGCTTGGAAGCGATGTCTCCCAGCTTGCTCCATCGGTAACATTTCTACTGAAGACACACTGCACGATTACCTACGAGGTGGACCCTTTCCATGCGTGGTCATAGCTGTGGAAGTCATTATGAAAATTGCGAAAATGCGCTCGCTGCAAAGGGTAAGGCTAAGGAGTAGGGCTGTGGTAGCTGCATGGGCTTTAGACCTCCACCCACTCTTCGACACGCAACATGCAGACCACGATACGCAACACGCCACACGGTCAGCCATATGCCTATGCAAGAAATGGGGTCCCAGCCGCACATAGAAGTAACAAATAAGTGGCAGGAACTCATTTGATATTCGTCTGCACCCTCTCGTGTACGGCTAAAACATACTTGTTCTTTACGGTTCGACTTTGGAAGCGCGCTAATATTAGTTCGCTATGAGGACCTGACTGCCCAGCTCTCGCAGCTAACATGCCGCCAACATGCCCGCAACGCGTGGTGTGCGCATCGCGTATCGGATAGAGGGCGGAGCCATCAAGTAGGCGGAGCCAGCGGGCCATCACAACTCTCCAGCTTACTTTGCGTACACTTCTGAGCGAATAAAGTGTCACCTTTCTACAGCTGCAAAGCTGACCACCTCACACCTGGAAAGGATCATCTTTAGGGTAGTCAGTGTTTTAGATGTGGTCCTCATGAAGAGCCCAATTTCAGGGTTTCCCCGGCATGGGCTGGTTAGGTGCACTTGGAGCCGGTGCTCCCGGTACACTCGGTACTTCTCCATTAAGCACATCGGTACCACTTTCACACTTAACGAATGAGAGGAAATCCACAAAAACCGCACACTTTCAGGGATTCCCGAATATGAGATGGTTAGGTGCACTTGGCGGCGAAGTTCCACGA